CTCAGGCTGTCACTTTCACAACTAAAATAATTTAATGGATGAAAGTGATTTTTTTGAGTGATCTTATTTCATTTGCACTACTTTCTTTTTTCCTCAAGAGCTACTGACAAAACAACAGTAAAAGTTGACTGCTTAATTTATTAATCTGTGAAGTGCCCAGATAACAAAATTATTTTTTTTTATAATGTGAACAGTTGCAGCCGTCACTGCCTTCTTTGAAAACTTTGTACTTTTTAATTTGTCTCTTCAGTAGTTAGTTCAATCATTCAGCACTTTAGAAATACACTGCAATATGACTCGAAATTTTGTGAGGCAATCAAGCCATTTGTCATAAGATTTCCAATTAGCAAGAATTCAAGTTATTAAATACACAGATCCAAATTTAAAGAACATGCAAAGCAAACACAGATAGCCAGAGTCAAGTCTTCAAGGACAGACATTGCTTTTTAAGTATGCCTCTCAAATGTGATAAAAGAAATAAAAGTTCATAGTGTTAAGAGCGTTCAGGCTGTTTCTCAAGGCCACGTGTTTTGGAGTAGGTATTTAAGGAATTAGCCATTTTTCATCATTTTATCTTTTCCATGCAAGTAAAGATACTTTAAAAGACTGAAAAAATAAAGCATTTTCTGGACTGCAGAGGATATGAAATTGGGCTGTGACTTTAGTCTCCCTTAGCTTTCTGTGTGAAGAACTGTATTGATTTGCTGCTTAAGATGCTAGACATGCATGTGGTACCAGATTCGAGCTGAGGTCTGGAATTCAAATACATTTGTTTCCATGTGTTCCAAATGATGAGAACAGTGACTTTCCTGATTCTGTCAGAGCATTCTCTAAGGCCAATTCTGATCTGACTATTTCTGCCTCATATTTTCTGACCTGCTTTGAAACAGAGTATTTCTGCACACCTCTCAAACTTTAACAACCTCTTTGAAACTTAATACTGTAACTTATTTTTGTTTGTGATGCAAAATGGTTAATAACATCTTCAATCCCAGAAGAAATACTGCTGTTTCTGACTTGGTGACTTTTGGTTATATGTTAGTCTGTGTTTAAAAAAAAAAAACCCAACAAACTCAGTATCTTCTGTCATAAATTGCTGTAGCTGACTCCTCAGGTGTTCTTTCTTACTTTACCAATAACTGTATGCTTCTTTAAAGAACAAATAAAAATAATTTAAGAAGCTATTTTATTTGCATCTGGTGACATGCAGAAATACCATACAGACCTGCCATCTATTGATGGGTTCCAAATAAATGTGCTTTTTCCACACTAATACAGCTTCATATTTTGAAGGCATAATGTTAAGTTCTGTTACCAAAAAAAAACAAAAAACAAGCACAGCAAAACCAAAAAAACCCACCTAGAATTGAAGCATAACTTAAATATTGTCTTTTATTTTACTGAGGTAGATAATGATTGTGGAAGATTTTAGCGAACACATCTGAATTACTTGTCAGAGAGGGAAAGTGGCTAGGAGCATGTAATTGCTTCCAATTTGTCTCAGATTTAAGAAGAGACTTTTTACATGTTTGCAAGGTAACACCCACTCAGTAGCTTGTGTGGAAGTGCTCTAGTTTGCGAAGCAACATAATGAGCAGCTAGTGAGGATGGTTTTCCCAGCTGCCAAAGGGCTTTGCAGAGTTGTAATGACTGCCATACTACTGTCAAGCTGTCACGGACTAAATGAAGGTTTTAAAGCATGTTTGGTGCCTTCGTGGGTAGCTGGTTTTTTTGAGTGTTCTAGAAATGCTAGCTTTTTCCTAAAATACCAAGACGCAAAAGGTGAAATGCAACTAGGTCTGTTTGGCTGTGTGCAGTAATTACGAGTGTGAGATCTAAAGGGATAACTGCCATTTTTCCAAGAGGATTACATCAGCTAACTTGAGACTGAATTTCTACCTAAACAACTGAGATATCCAGAGGTCTTATAGGCTCTTGTGTAGAAGAGCCCTCTCAGCCTCTCCTAGACTTACTGTATGGTGGATGATACAGAAACAGTCATCTAATCAAGATGTTTTTACAGTTGATCACCAATAGGCATTTTCAAGAGTTTATGAAGTTTATGTACTTAATGTGATCTTCTTTTGCTGAACGACAGAGCACAGCACTAACAGCTCCAGCTGAAGACAAAGCTGCTGTTCATTGATTATTAAAAGTGGTATACAGAGAACTTCGGAGAATTAGATTTTTGGATACGTCAAATCAGCCAAACAATTTATGGAGATGTTCAGATGAGACATTTAGTGTTTAACTATTGTATCTATAAAATTTGATATTTTCAGTTGAAATTACTCCTGTTTTTAAGAGCACTAGAATGTATGTCATGTAGAAGTCTTCAGAGCGGTGAAGTTTACTGTATTAAAGTTTAAGGCTATACGTTGCAGAATTGATTATCCATGAGATTCTGAGGGGGAAAAAATAGCATTTGATCACATAATTGTTCTGTCTAGTGCTTCCTGGTTTTGAACACTTTGTTTTGCAGTGCTACTAGTGTTAATTCTATATGTAGATTATGTATAGTATACACAATGTTTTGTTTTTAAAACATGGCTCATTCAGCAGTAGATTATTGCCTGTTTTGTGTAGAAAGGGAATAACCCACAGACCATAAAACTTGAGCCACTGTTAGATAGCCTTCTCTTAATACTGCTTTGTAGAAAATATGTGAAACTCGTTCCAGTGGGGTGCTACAGAGTCTGCCAAAGTGATCACTGGGGTTAGCAAAAAAGATGAGTCAATATTAGGGTGAATTCAGGTGAGGTAGGGACAGTTTGTGGTCTGCTCGTGTAACTTATGACTTTGTTTCCCACTCGGTGGTGTGTAAACTTACAATAAAAACAGAACATGTATATACTGTGTAAGTATAGATAGAATGCTTGTCACCTCTGCTTTATTGATATTGTTAGGCATGGGTGCATAGGCCACTGAGCAATCAATGAACCCTTAATACTAACCTCACTTCTTAGCAATACCTAGTCTTTGCATTTCAGTAGTTGTTCTGATCTAATTTTACCGCTACCTTTCTGATACTACATTGATTTTCTCTTTTCTGTGCCGTTTGATGTGCGATTGTGAATTGCATACTGCATCAGTTCGGTTCTCAGTGCTTCAACTGCTCATTAAGAGACTTCTGACAATCTGTTTATTACATTCTTATCAATAGCCTGGTCAATATATTGAGTCCAACTATGCTTTCTATTCCAAAGTAACTTCTCAAAAACTGTTACCTTCCATGTGGAATGTTAGTATCTAATCTTTCGGGGTTTTTTTACCTACTAAAATGTCCTTGGAAACGAATTTTTTATTTATCAAATGAAGTTCTCCAAAGGGTGATTGGACTTTCACATACACAGATGCAGACACACTGAACTGAAAATGTGTAAATCTGAGGTGTTGAAAAGAACTTTCCATACTAATCTGAATTTGCTAATCTATTCCAAAGTACATTTAACATCAAGACAGCGATCTGTGCTGTAAATTTTCATCCTAAGAAACAATATTAACTTTTTAACTTTTTGGAATGATGAGGTATTACACCAGTGTTTACTTACTGTATAATTGCATCCCTGCATGCAGCAGCGTATGCAGCATGCATCTTCAAAGTGGAAAGCCTGTTTTCCTGATTGCTTGGGCAAAAGGGATGCACAAAAATAAGCAATCATACTATTGAAGTCTTGATTATTTTAAAACCTTTTTTAACTGCCAGCATCTAAAAGAAGCGAAAAGTGACTTTTCTAATAATGCTCTTTTTGGAGGACCATAAGGATAAAAAGATTTTTGGAAATAAGAGTTTAAGGAGAAAAATAAATGACACACCAGCTTCAGTAGATTGTGCAGTACAACAATTCTGCAAATTGTTTCTTCACAGAAAGTGGAAATGTGTTTGGAAGTGACTTAATATACAGCAAAAGATGAATAACATGTAAATAAAATACAGGGTATGACTATAGAAAGTGAGAGGCTAAAAGTTGTACTGATGAAAAGAAAATCTCTTAGTTTAGAGAAGTCGTCTTAATACAGGAAGCCGATTTTCCTGCTGTTGAAAAGTTAGCTCTAATGAAGTCTTTGAAAATCTGATGCTGAGTTAAGGATACACTAATTGGAGTGGCTTATATTGCTTTTTTTTTTTTTTAAAGGCAAAGCTGTCTTGCATGACGGACTTTGTGGTTTTCAATATAAATTTTGTTTATAACAACTAAGGTCATTCTTATTTATAGTCTTTGTGGTACCTAATATTTTTGGTGAGGTCGAGCAATCTGTAGTTCCTTATTTCTTATAACTATATTTTTCACAGACTGCTATCTGATTTGGTGGATTTACTTTCTCAGTGCAGTAAGTGCATATACTTATGTCTGTTGACTGGAAATCAGGAATTGAATGTTATAGATGTTGGTGTTATACAAGCATGGCCTACATGTAACATGTTGTGAAAAGGCAGGAGAAACCTATGTTTTTTTCAATCAGTCTCCAACATAAAAGTCAGCCTAAAGTAACAGATTTTTATTTTAAAAAGCTATGTAAATGAACTTATACTTACATGGAGATGTGTCTTTTTATTTTCTTCTTGTTCTCCTGTCTAAAATGACAAGAAGAGAAAGAAATTAATAAGAGGCTGTGTTTGAGAAACCTCTGCTAATTAGCATGGGGAAAAGAGAACAGTAAGGTGGTTGTAAGAATGCAGATGGAAAGGCCTTCATTTTAGTTCTGTTTTTACAGGGTGTTGGCAACTTAAGCTGATAATGGCTAAAACAGATCCAATTTTGAGTAGCATAATGCTTATTTGGCATCATACTATCATTCTGACAATAAGGAATGTGCTCCTCAGTATGTTACCCAGTAAAGGGAATGTGTTCTACTGTCAGAATTAGTGACATGTATTTACTTTGTGGGACATTATAGAAAATAACCAGCAAACCAGCTACTGATGCAGTGAACTAAATGGCACGTACCTGAATCATTAAGCCCATTTCAGTTATGTGTTTTTTCTTTTATATGTTCAGTGACAAACAAGAAACCAGCTCAGGCGTCTATTACGAAGGTGAAGCAATTTGAAGGCTCTACGTCTTTTGTCAGGAGAACGCAGTGGATGCTCGAGCAGCTTCGCCAGGTCAATGGTATAGACCCTAATCGGGTGAGTTCAAACAGTTCCAGAAAATGAAGATTGAGCTCTTTTATAACGAACTTATGAATCAGGCATTCTTTCACTATTCAAACCACATCTGGAAAGATAAGATACAGGTTTAAGTGCAAATTCTCAAAAAAGAAATAACTTAATGGAATATGTGAAATAGATTTTAATGGGAAAGATGGGAGGAAGCCAAAGCTCATAATCATATGGATTTTTTTCTTCCTGTTTTTCCCTACTTTTTCCTTCTCTCTCTTCTTTGTAAAGAGGGAAAATAAGAGCCTTGTTTGAATTGTCTTCAGCTATAAGTCTCTTGGGGTCCATGCAGCTGTGTTGTAAGGTAGAGCAGTAAGTAGAAGCAAGGGCAGAAGAGGTTACTGAGGTTCAAGTTTGTGAAATACTGTGAACCTTGTGTTTTTTCTCAGATCGTTCTGTGTTTCTTATCTTTTCCTACAAAGGGCGGTGGTGTGGTTTAGTTGCCAATGGCACATAAACGCTGATTTAAACCAAAACCAAACAAACCAACTCCCCACAAAGTAGTTCTGGAATTCCTTTAATGTGGAATGCAGCCCACCTTGAGCTGTCTCAAGACAGAGTTGTACTAACATGTAATATGCTTATGAATACAAATCTTCAGTAGTAAAACAGCAGAATTGGAAGTTAGGAATGTGGCTTATACTATGAGATCACAAAGTCACTTAATGTGTTCATTGTACAGCAAAATATGTTTGTGACTAACACCCTTGGTTTGTTCAAAGCTGTGCTCTGATCAGCCACCGAAGCTTCTTAGCAATGGCGCACCAAGTTGCGTTACTACCCAGTACAGTCTTTTGTACAAAAAAGAAGCCCTTTGGCCACTGCCCTATGAAATGCAAGGGGTGGAATTATATTTTCTCTGGGTAGAAGAGCAACAAAGGTGCAGTGAAAATGAGAGTAATGACAAATAGATAAGGGATATGAGTTTTAGGCCCTTTCCCAGCATGTGCTATAAATAACATACCTGGGGTACTCTCAGATTCAAAGTCCCATCAAGTTCTTAAGCTTAGGCATGTTCCTTTCAAACTTGTCTTCCTGTGATTCCTAGTGTCATCGGTTCAAAACAGCATTTACAAGATTGGATTACAACATTATATTTAGCAAATACTGCTACATAGCAATACTTTTTGCATAAAATCCATTTATTTTGGCAGTTGATGCACAGTATAGAGCTGGACTTTGATTTTTTTTTTTTTTCTCTCTCCTGGGAATGCTCTTTTGTTCGCGCTATCCTGAGCCCTAAGTAACACCTTATGATAATACGTTAAATACAATAACTAGGACTTGCTATTTGCTTTTCTCCTTTTGTTGAGCATTAAGAGCAGAAACACATCTTCTGTAATATAGTGTGAAAGTAAATTTTGTGCTGAGGCACAAATCCTTCTGTAATATAAGAGGCATAAGTAACTCTATATCTGTAGATAACAAGGATTTCTTACAAGATTCCAACTCTTAATTTTTTTGGACTAAAGTATTTTTTTCTGGAGTCTTTGTCATAGCTGAATATTCCTTGTTAAAAATATCTGCAAGAAAAAAACCTCCTGCCTGTTTTTTTTTACATCCAAAAATATGCAAAAGAGTAATCCCAGGATGGTCTTGATTTGCATGACCTTTCTGCTTTTTCTAACATAATACTTTTAAAAAGTAATAGCTCTATATCTTTCTGCAAATCGTTTATAGAACTGGAATAATAGTAGTATGTTTTTTGTCTTCTAGGATTCCCCAGAATTTGATTTACTATTTGAAAATGCTTTTGACCAATGGGTAGCAAGCACAGCTTCAGAAAAATGCACGTTCTTTCAGGTTCTACATCACACTTGTCAGCGATACCTTACAGACAAGAAGCCAGAATTTATCAACTGCCAATCTAAAATTATGGGAGGTAAGTCGATTGCAGCTGGAGTACTTTATGTGGTTGGACATGAAGTGATTTGCACATGAGTTATTCTGTGTTCAAATGAGCTTGCAGCCTAATTAATCTGGAAATTGTGGGTCTGAATATTTTAACTTCTAGGTTTCAGCATTTCTCCAAGCACCACTTCACACTCTTCTGCTGTCTTTGCTTTCCTTGTCTTCAGTTCTAGAGGCAACATCCCCTGCCCACCTTGTAAGAAGTTATTCTCCTCCCTCTTGATTTCAATTTGTCTCTCTACTTTTCTTCATCCAGAAACATTTCTGGATGGCCTGAAACATTTCCCACTAAAAGCCTGTTCTGCATTGCCATTTCCTCACAAGTCTGTCAAAAAGTGGTTATTACTAAACTTCCCATGGGTCTTTTGGAATTTACTTTGTCCTTGACAGAAATCTGTTAGTTTAGAGTTTTGTTGCATTTCATAAATCACATATCTTAAGGTGAATTTCCAGGATTAGGCTTAAAAATATCTGGTTAGTTAAAAAAAGTCTGGTGAATATGTGAAAATGGCATTTACCGTTCATGTCCCAAGCAGCAAAAACTATTTTGGGGTGAGGATTTTCAAGTATTTCACAAAGTATTCTTTAGAAAAATAAACCAGTTTAGTTGTTCCCTTAGACTCCTTTTTTTTTCTGCTCTAAAACAGAACACTTTTTAAAACTCTGACGTCTCCCATATTCTGCACAGCTGGAATAAAAAAATGGGGTGTTTTTCTCTTTCTCAATGAGTCTCCTAACAGTTTGTGTTTCCAAACTGTAAACGAGAAGTGCAAGCAAGGGATTTTGCTTAGTTCTTGTTTCTTTCCCCCAGTAGGCATCAATTATAAATATGGAGAGCCTGACTCAGTTCTTTCTGGCAATTCTCCTCTTTCATAAATCTAGAATACGTTCCTGTACGGTACTACCAGAACCAGATTTTGTGCAGCCACCTTTCTATGCTCTTTTTTTTCTGGTTGTTATTTTGTCTTGCATCCCTTTTCTCTAAAACACCAAAGGTAAACTTGAGGAAGAGGGAAATCATCTCCAGTTTGGTGTTTACATTTTAGCTACTGACACTGAGGTTACCGCTAACTTTGCAGTCGTAAGTCAGAACTATTCTGTCAATCATCCTTTTCTTCTAGTGTCTTCTCAAACTAAGAAAAAAGGCACAAAACTTTCTTGTAAACTTCCTCTCTCATTTTTTCCCCTTCCACATTAATAGGATTTCCTTTGTTTTCTTTTTGGTGTGGTGGGGAGGAGGGAGGAGCAGTTTTTGCACTGATGGGAGAAGATAACCTCTACAATTTTTCCATTTCGTATGGAAGAAGTGTCCTATCAAGCCTTTGTTTGCCATCTGTTTGCTAATGATACTCACTTCCGTCCTTCCTGCTAATTAATCAGTGTTAATAAACCACCACACATTACATGCATTATTTTATTCTCATAAGCTTGACCTGTTTGAAATTAAATTCTTCATTCAACTGACCCAAATATTAACCTTTGTCTTAAACAAGTGTCATCACAATGGGGAAAAAAAAGAATTGCCAGAGATTCATAAAATTCATCTTGACTTTTACTTTTTTAACACGCACTAGACCCCACGGCGTCCCATGAAGCATACCTATATTGTCTCTATTAAAACTTCATCGCTAAAATGGGCTTATTCAGCCATCCTCCCATACCAGATGTCAACTTTTTCCATATTCTTTGCCTGCCATTCTGACTGTGCACAGACACAATCTCTGTGTGTACACACACAGTACAGTCTGTGGACGCAGTACAGGGCCAGGGACTAATAAATCTCCTCATGGATGCAGTGCTTCTGCTGATCTTCATGCTGTCAACTTTTTTCTCACACTAGGTTACAAACTCCCTGTGGATGAGTTTCAAATTTGACAGAAAGTAGAAAAAGTGCAAACCAAGTAATAGTTGACTCTAAATTCCACTGGCCTTCTGTGTGTCTGCCTCATTGAGCAATAAGATGTCTGCCAAAAATGGGGGGGGCAGAAAGTCCTCATTAGCAAATCAACTGTATCAATTATTATACAAGGCAATGCTATCGTATAATTAGAAATTGTCTTGTAATATGTAAGATAAAATAGTCTGTTTAAACATCTGCTATTCCTTTAAATATTCAGATTTATATTCTTAGTGCGATGCTAGGTTTTCTACAGTATTACTGTCTATACTATAATTACAAGCTTTATTGGTGTATTCATGCATACAGATAAATTCTTACTTAGTTACAAAAGTATTAGTCTAGCACCCATGCTGATATTTCTTGAAAATATAATTGATTGAAAAAAATAGATGAACTTAGCTTTCCAAACTAAATTTTTTTGAGTTGTGGAAACATTCTTAAGTTTACTATGTTGTTCAGCATTTTTCCTAATGTTCTAGTATACCTGGAGAATATATTTCACTAATCTTCTTTTCATCACCTTCAAAAGCTTTTGCTTTACTTTATGTTTAAGTGTATTACAATGTATTTATCTAGCAGAGACATGCTTCCTCCACTGATTAAAAATAAACAAACAATTATTGTAGCAACTTTGATATATCTCCCAATTAAAGGCAGGCCTCCTTAGTAATACATAGTACTGTGAAGTTAGTTCAGTCACTGAGTTATGTTAGTTGGGCTGTTAATCTGAGGCAAATGCAGTAATTGCTAAGTGACCAGAAGCAGCACCTTTCATTGACTTTAGAAGCTGTTCTGTGAGTTAGTAGTTGACTGTCTCGGGCACTGGGGAGATATCTGCAGTCCTCGTTTGAAGCCCAGGGATGGGCCAACTGTATATCGAAACCCACTTAGTCTGAAACCTACAGTATCAGCAGGTTTTTATGGAAAATATATTGAAATCTGTTGTCAATCTCAAATTCATCCTGACTGGAAAAACCAAGGTCCAAACATAGCCAAGCAAACCAAAGAACATATACCTGAGGATGTATCTTGAAGTTAACTAAATTCAGTTTAGAATTTGCAAGTTGGGATTGTGTTTGTTGGTGGTTTTGGGTTTTTTCTGCAAATTAGCCAAAGGAGTATATTCAAATAATTCTTAAACCTTAGTGTGCAGTCAGGTCATGGATGAAGCATATTGCTTCATCCCCTCTACCGAGGTACCCTTTTTGGTTTAGGTTATATTCTTTTGAACTTTCTGGGGGATGTGCAATGTAATATTCTTTTTGAATGGTTAGTCAGTTTAACTTCTTATACCCTGTAAGTTTTTTTAATAAACTATTACAATATACACACACATCAGTTATGTTATGTAATGATAGAGATGTGCACATCATACACGTAATTTGTATCTTTTAACTAATGCATATTTTCAAAACCAACAAAAAATGCCACCAAAGAAGACTTCCTCACAAGTGGTACTGACGATGAAAGAACTTTGAACGGCTTGTTTACAAGCTTGCTTATCTTATTAAGCCTTATTCGTTCCTAAAGGATAGGGGTGAAGAAAGTGAAATTCATGCTGTGTCTGTTTCTGCAAGAAGTGTTTAAGAGCTTAGCCGTAAGTAAAAGTGGGTGTCCCTGTGGAGCTGCAGACCCTCTTCATTGCCTTCCTCCTTTTGCCTCCCCCCAAACACACACACTGCCCCCTACAGGCCAGAGCCCTGCCCTGATTCTTCTTTTCCAGAACCATTCTTTGCTTTATTTTCATTTGAGTATCATGTAAGGATGTAGTCTGTAGAGTTAAATAGGCTAGACTGTTTTCTGTAACTTGATTAATGACATTAGTAATTACAGCGATAATGAGAACAGATTAAAGGTGTGGGTGCTAATTCTGAGAACAAAGAGCAAATTCAAATTTGGGAAGACTGTAACAAGATTCCTCCCACTAGTATCTTGTACTAAATATTTCAAGTTTGTCTCTTGTTTAGTAGAGCTGTCTCCATAGCTTACATGCATTCTGGATGTTATTTTGGGGAGGAAAGGAAAGGCAGGCATTTGGAGGTAGAGGGTTTTTTCACTGACATAGGAAATACTTTCCGCTTTTATATCTTTCTAACATACAGGTTCTCATACTAGAATATGTCTAATTTGGAGTACCTTTGTGTTATGTTAATTGTCATTCGGTGGCCAAATCAATCAAGATTGTATTGCTTTTACATCAGTCAATGTGAAACACAAAGTTGGAGGTGAGTGGTGTGCAGAAATTTTGTCATCTACAGGTTGTGGTTTTTAGAACAACTTAATTCTTGACATAACATTAGGCTGACACTGAAGATGAATTTGACTCTTATTTCTGGATAGAATCCTGCGATACAGCATTTGAAGCTCTTAAAAGATTAATTCTGGGCCTGTAAGAATAAACAGTTGCTGCCACCTTTAGATACATATTAGAAATGCATAGTCCTTGGAAAGGAGCAGGACCTCAGGTTGGAGGAAGATGATGATTCTGTGATATTTTTTTGTTTTGTTTTAAGCTTTGTCCTACCTGTGTGCTTTGGTTTTAACAGCCATTCTGCTGAATTAAAATATTCTAAGAAGCGCAGAGTAGTGACATCTTTGCCTCTGTAACCTTTTCTCTATGACAGCTGGTAGGAGTTATTAATGGATCATTCTTTTTCTCCTCCAGGAATATATTGCCAGTGTGAGAATGGCAATGAGTATTTCTTTTTTCATAAGCTATTGACTCAGCTTAACTTACCACATTTGAGACCTCGTAAGCATATAGCGGTGTTTACCATACTGTGCAAGATTAATGACTGACTAAAGGAGATGAACAAAAACTTGCCATTAGGAATTAGCATGGGGAAAAAAGATTGCTCCCCTCCCTCCTGTCAAATACCTGGTACTTACTGGTTTCAACTCTTTACGTGATAGCCATTAAAAAAGGTGTGTAATTGAACATAATATTCTTACAGACTTTCACTTATAAACTAATTCTAATACAAATTAATTTGACCAAAAGAAAAAAAAAAAGTAGTATCTACCACATTATTTTGTCAGTGTTTTGCCATTGTGAAATTACCAATCAGACA